CCAGAGAGGTTCGGTCACTTGCCCAGGGGGCACACAGCCAAGAGGTGGCCGAGGGAGGGACTGAATGTAGGTGGGCTGACACCGAAGGTCACATTCTTATCCCCGTGGATATCTTTTTATTTATTATTATTTTTTTTAGATGGAGTCTTGCTCTGTTGCCAAGGCTGGAGTGCAGTGGCACTCACTGTAACCTACTCCTGCTGGGCTCAAGAGATTCTTCTGCCTCAGCCTCTGAAATAGCTGGGACCACAGGTGCGCAACATCACACCCAGCTAATTTTTGTATTTTCAGTAGAGATGGGGTTTCACCATGTTGGTCAAGCTGGTCTCCAACTCCTGGCCTCAACTGATCCATCTGCCTTGGCCTCCCAGAGTGCTGGGATTACAGGCATGAGCCACCGTGCCCGGCCTGGATATGTTTTTTTTAAATCAACTCATTTTATTTTCCTTAACTTGTCCAACGTGGTATCATAAAATCAGGGGGTGAGTTGCAAACACTTTTTCCTAATACTTGTTAAAGGAAGCATATATCCATTTAAAATACAACGTTTTCCTCCCCGCACCACCCAAATCACCTCAAGCACCCCATTTTGGGAAATGCTGCGCCACACTAAAGGCTGGTTGCCTAGGAGAAAACTTCAGGAAGCAGCTTTAATGAGTAGATAAGAATGATTTGCAATTAGCATCAATTGTCTGTATGCAAATTAAAGCTCCCAACCGCAGGGTCCTCTTTCGCAACGGGTTCCTCTCCCATTTCGTTCCCTTCATTTCTGGGTTCAGCAGATCCTTTCCTTAGACACAGGGTAATTTCATGCCCACCCTCCCATCTCAGCCACAGTCTACTCCAGGCCTGGCTGTCTTTATGTTTTGGATTTCAAATCTTCACAGTTGTTAAGGTTCACTAACGTGAGTGGTGGTGCCGTGCCCGGGATGGGGGCTCCCGCAACCGAAACCTGAGACCCCATTGTAGACTCTCTTGGCTCCATGTCCCTCTCAGTGGCACAGTTTTGTTTTGGTTTTGAGACAGAGACTCTCTCTGTCACCCAGGCTGGAGTGCAGCAGTGTGATACCCGCCTCCTGGGTTCAAGGAATTCTCCTGCCTCAGCCTCAAGTAGCTGGGATTACTGGCATGTGCCACCACACCTGGCTAATTTTTGTATTTTTAGTAGAGATGGGGTTTTGACATGTTGGCCAGGCTGGTCTTGAACTCCTTACCTCAGGTGATCCTCCCACCTTGGCCTCCCAAATTGCTGGGATCATAGGCGTGAGCCTATGCCTGGTCCCGGTGGGCACAGTTATTTATTCTTCGCAAGTGATAATCTGATTCTTATCTGTTTCCCTCACTTGATGGTGGGCGGTGGGGAGGCCTGGGGGCCTGATCCAAACATGTTGGTGATTTCTATCAGCCCCAAGCACAGTGTCTGGGACAGAGCAAATCCCCAAGAAATACTTATGAATGGAATGAATGAATAAATGAATGAAAGAGTAATTCAAAAGAGTCCAGGCAGGGTGCAGTGGCTCACACCGGTAATCGCAGCACTTTGGGAGGCTGAGGTGGGCGGATCACGAGATCAGAAGTCTGAAACCAGCCTGACCAACGTGTTGAAACCCTATCTCTACTAAAAATACAAAAACTAGCTGGGCATTGTGGCACTGGCCTGTAATCCCAGATTGTCAGGAGGCTGAGGCAGGAGAATCGCTTGAGAGGCAGAGGTTACAGTGAGCCAAGATTGCGCCACTGCACTCCAGCCTGGGTGACAGGACCTGTCTCCAAAAAAAAAAAAAAAAAAAAAGAGTCCAGGTGTTCAAAAGATTAAGTGGTACTTGTCACCAGGTATGGTAGCTCATGCCTGTAATCCCAGCACTTTAAGAGGTCAAGGAGGCTTGAGCCCAGGAGTCCCAGAGTAGTTGGGCATGGGGCATGCACCTGGAGTCTCAGCTACTTGTGGGGCTCAGGTGGAAGGAACACTTAAGACCAGGAGTTTGAGGTTTCAGTGAGCTCTGATTATACCACTACACCCAGCCTGGGCGACAGAGCAGGACCCTGTTTCTAAAAAACAAACAGCCACTTGTCTAGGGAGATGAAGCGAGAGATCTGAAACACTTAGACATTCTCTGTCTCTCTGCCTCCTCTCTCCTCCTTCGGCCCTTCTCCTGGACTCTCTGACTCAAGGAGACCTTTGGATCACAGTGTGCCCAGGTGTGACACTACAGTCACTCTTAAACACAGTGGTTTTCAAATCTGTCAGGGAACACTGTAAGCCATGAAATCATTTGGGGATTGATCAGCATTAAACATTTTTAGGTGGAGGAGACGGGATCAAAGTGTATCGCACATAGGTTAAGTATTATTCTGGGAAGCACTGCTTCACTTTTTTTTTTAAACATAGATATTTCTGTATAGATGGACAGAATTCTACTGTGGACTGTGTTCGCAAGTCTGAGGTGGCTGCCTGAGTGTAGGTGTCCTGTGTGGAGAGAGGCTAGGCTTTGCGGACTGGCAAAGGCTTTAGGGAGCCCCAAGAGAGGAAGATCCCTGTGCCAATGAGGCTCTGAGCCCTAATGGGGGACTGCAGACACGCACCACCATACCCGGCTAATTTTTTGTATTTTTAGTAGAGACAAGGTTTTTTTTTTTTTTTTTTTTTGAGACGGAGTTTCACTCTTGTTACCCAGGCTGGAGTGCAATGGCACGATCTCGGCTCACCGCAACCTCCGCCTCCTGGGTTCAGGCAATTCTCCTGCCTCAGCCTCCTGAGTAGCTGGGATTACAGGCACGCACCACCATGCCCAGCTAATTTTTTGTATTTTTAGTAGAGACGGGGTTTCACCATGTTGACCAGGATGGTCTCGATCTCTTGACCTTGTGATCCACCCGCCTCGGCCTCCCAAAGTGCTGGGATTACAGGCTTGAGCCACCGCGCCCGGCAGAGACAAGGTTTTACCATGTTAGCCAGGATGGTCTTGATCTCCTGACCTCATGATTCGCCCGCCTTGGCCTCCCAAGGTGCTGGGATTACAGGCGTGGGCCACTGTGCTCGGCCATGTCCAAGCACAGTTCTAAGGGCACATTTAATCTTTACCACATCCCTATGAGGTACGTAAGTGATTTATGCCTAGTTTTACAGATGAGGAAAATGAGGCCCAGAGAGGTTCGGTCACTTGTCCAGGGGGTATTGGTATCCTGGACTCAGGCTGGGCCACCCCAGGAATGGTCAGGAAGGGACATGGTGCTATGGCCTCAGGGGCTAGCGCTAGGGACTACAGCACAGGAAGCTCCTGCCTGGGGCCACAGAACCCTAAGGGTGGTCTAAGGATGGGGCTAAGCTCTGGGTCTGTGCCCTTTTCTAGAAGGCAGCTCATGGCCTCCATCGGAACCTCAGTGTGTGTATGGTTGGGACTCCAGGCTGCTGGCTGGCCAATGCCTGCTCTTTCTCTCACTCCCCTATCCGCCTCTCTACCAGTGGCTCTCAAAGTGTGGTCCTGGGACCAGCAGTATATGCATCTACTGGGAACTTAATGCATATTCTCAGCCAAGGGCGGTGGCTCTCACCTGTAATCCCAGCACTTTGGGAGGCTGAGGTTGGCAGATCCCTTGAGGTTAGAAGTTTGGGACAAGCCTGGCCAACATGGTGAATCCATGTCTTTACTAACACAAAAATTAGCTGGGCATGGTGGTGGGCACCTGTAGTCCCAGCTACTCGGGAGGCCAAGGCAGGAGAATCACTTGAACCGGGGAGGCGGAGACTGCAGTGAGCCAAGATTGTGCCATTGCAGTCCAGCCTGGGTGACAGAGCAAGACTCCCTCTTAAAAACAACAATAACAGGCCGGGCGCAGTGACTCAAGCCTGTAATCCCAGCACTTTGGAAGGCTGAGGCGGGTGGATCACGAGGTCAAGAGATCAAGACCATCCTGGTCAACATGGTGAAACCCTGTCTCTACTAAAAATACAAAAAATTAGCTGGGCATGGTGGCGCGTGCCTATAATCCCTGCTACTCAGGAGGCTGAGGCAGGAGAATTGTCTGAACCCAAGAGGTGGAGGTTGCAGTGAGCCGAGATCGTACCATTGCACTCCAGCCTGGGTAACAAGAGGGAAACTCCGTCTCAAAAAAAAACAAACAACAACAACAACAACAACAAAAAAACAGTAACAATGAAACAAGAAAGACATATTTCTCAGGTCCCCAGACCTACTGAGTCAGAAACTCTGGGTGGGGCCCAGCAGCTGGGCTGCATAAGCCTTCAGGGGCTTCTTTGGGGACCACTGCCCTATAGAGCCTGGAAGGCCAGACCATGACCTTCCAGACCTCCTTGTAGCTGGGATGGCCTCGTGATGCCAGCTGCTAAAGGGGGCTCTGGGAAAGTGTCTGCTTTCTCCATAGGAAGGGAAAGGGAAAGGTGCTTGGAGGCTGCCACCTTTCCTTCTGTTCTCTGCCCCCAACTGCCACCCACCAGGCACCACAGATTCATCTCAAGGCCAGGGAGCACGGTAAGGACGCCGAGCAGGGAGACACAGAGCGCCCATCCTTGAGGCTCTCCATGAGCCACAGCACTAGCCCGGCTCTCTCCGACTTCATGTCAGGGGACTATTAGATCTCTATTTGTTTAAGCCACAGTGGTTCAGGTTTCCTATGGCCTCCAGCCAAATGCACTCTAACAGATACAGTCTGTAACCCCTAAGAAAGCATAAAAACTTTTGGTCTCAGGAGAGAGCAAAGAAAAATGAGGCAGAAGGTCAGAGAGAACCAGAGACAGACGAAGACAGAGATACATAAGGCCAGGGGTTTCTTTCCCTCCACCTGGGTGGGGTCTCTGAAGGCTGATGGATGGGCAAGAAGGCAGCGGCCCATGAGCACCCCCAATTCTGTCGGCAAACCAGTGACTAGGCGCATGCATCCGTGAGTGTGTTTCTGGGAGGATACCCCACCGTCAGGACTGCAGAACTAGAACTATCGGAAATGGAAGGTGGTCAGAACCCGGAAGAGGTGCAATAGCTTACCTGGGCTGCCTTGGCGGGTCTCGGCTGCCCCCGGCCAGGCCCGTGGGGGTGCTGGAGCCGGAGGAGTACAGCTTCGGTCGGTAGCCCTTGCTTTGGCCAGCAACTGCGGGGGCAGGGGAGACCTCCCGCCGCCTGTCTGTGTGGTGGGATCTCCCAGCGGCCTCAAGACCTCCGCCACAAAGGCCCATACTTCCAGGGGGCTTGTGTGGCTTGGCGGGCCGTGGTGCCTTGGCCAGGGACATGCAGCTGGGACTAGAGGTGTAGAGGGTGGTGTCGATGCCACTGTCACTGGAGCCGCCCTTGGAGAGGGGGTCTTGCTCTGGCTCCAGGGGGTCCAGGGGGTCGAACCAGCGGTCGTCGCTATGGCTGCTGGATGCGTTGCTGGAGAGGGTGTTGCTGCTGGAATGACTCGAGTACTGAGGTTCTCCCTGAGGGGCAAGAGAAGCGTGTCATTCCCAGACTCCAGGGCAGGGGTGTATCTTCCCTCTTTGGGTCCTCCCTCTGCTTGGGCCTGAACCCTAGGACCAGACAGCTTCAAATCCTGGATGCTCATCTACTGGCCGTTATTACCTTGGGCAAGTGATTTAACTTCCCTTGGCCTCAGTTTCCACATCTGTAAAACGGAGGGTAATAGTAAGCCTGCCTCGTGGAGCTCCTCGCAGGAACAAATGACATCATGCATATAACAGGCTTCCCACATCTCAGACTCAGCGAATCTAAGACTCAACTTGGCACCCTCCCTCCCACACCATCTTCCCTGTCTCAATGACGCTGGCCATGCTTTCAGCCGCCCCTGCTGAGAGCTGTGGACCTACCTTGGCCCCGTTTTTGCTCTCACTCACATCCAGCCCAACAGCAAATCCCATTGCCAGCGTCCTCAAAACAGATCCGGGACCTGTTACTTCCTGTTCCACGGCTCTGCCGGGTCCTGTCCATGCCTGTCCTGTCCACCACCACCTCCCCCGGGCCAGAGCAGCAGCCTCCTCCCTGGTCTCTCTGCACCCTCATCCCCGTTTATTCCCCACGCATAGCCAGCAGGAGGCCGGGAACACCTGAGTTACATTATGGCCCCCACCTGCGGCTCCATCTTACTCCAGGCAGAAGTGAGAGTTCCCAGCACCACCCACAGATGATTTTAGTGCCATGTTCTAGTCTCCAACTTTATCTCCCCTCCCTCCTGATCACACTGCTGCGGCCATGTTGGCCCCCTTGCCATTCTCTGAACACGCTGGGCACTCCCACTCTGGGCCTCTGGGCCTGCTGCTCCCTCTGCCTGCAATGCTCTTCCCTGAGAGACCTTCATGGGCTGCCCCTTCCTTCACTCAAGGTTTCAGCTCAAAGGTCACCCCTTCGAAGCCCCTCTCTGACCATGTCATCCTAAAGCTGCAGTGCTTGTCACTTTCCCCCCTGAATTGTGCTTTTTCTTTTCCTTTCTTTAACTTTTGAGATGGAGTCTTGCTCTGGCTGGAGTGGAGTGGTGCAATCTTGGCTTACGGCAGCCTCCGCCTCCTGGGTTCAAGCAATTCTTGTACCTCAGCCTTTCAAGAGGCTGGGATTACAGGTGCCCACCACCACGCCCGGCTAGTTTTTGTACTTTTAGTACAGACAGGGTTTTACTATGTTGCCCAGGCTGGTCCCGAACTCCTGACTGCAAGTGATCCATCCGCCTTGGCCTCCCAAAGTGCTGGGATTACAGGCGTGAACCACCGTGCCTGACCCATGCTTTTTCTTATACAACAGATCTGTTTATCTGCTTACTGCTTGCTGCCCCCACTGGGAAGTCAGCTTCCTGAGGACAGAGCTGGTCTGTCTTCTTCATTACCACGGTCCCAATGTGTGGCATGTTGTAAGCACTTGTCAAACACCTGCTGAATGAATGGATGACCTCGCAAACCATCTCCTTCTCCAGGACACACAAGAATACATTTCCCAGCCTCCCTTGCAGTTAGGTTTGGCCACATGGTAGAATGGAAGTGATTCATGCCATCTCTAGCCTGGACTAAAAAACACCTCCCATTTGATCTTTTTTCCTACTCACCTCCACTGCTGGAAAGATGCAGGAACCCAACAGAGGGCTTGGAAGCTCTGAGGGAAAGCAGAGCCAGGAGAGGGAGGGAGCCTGGGCTCTGAATCACCACGTGGATGGTGGGTAGATGTTCAATGAATACCTGCACTGCACTGTTACAGGAAAGGGAAATTCACTTCCACTGTATGAGGACATTGAGATTCCGGGCTGTCTGTTACAGCAGCTGATTTACCATGATTGATAGAACACTGAGGAAACTGTGGCTCGAGGAAGGAAAGGAATTTGCCCAAGATGTCCTGGCTGATGAGGGCTGGAGCCAGAATGTGAACCTGGTTGGTTCCAACTCCAAACCAAGTATTCAACCCCTCTGGAGTGGAAGGTGGCAGAGATAGAGGATGTGCTCAAGTGTGAAGCTCAGAGGCCACACCCAGGCCGGCCTGGTTCCCTGGTGGGGCAGGGCGGGGCCCAGACTCACTTTGGAATGCCTGTTGGGGGAGTCTTTGCCTGCTGCATCCTGCCTGGATGTGTGCTTGTTCCCGCTGCTTCCGGCTATGGCTGAGAGCCTGGCCTGGGCAGGCACATGCCACAAAGGCTCTGTAGGAAAACAGGAGACACACCACTGGTTAGGAGTGACTCAGGCCAGGGCCTGAAGAATCCGGCCCCTCTGCCAGGCTGTCTGCTCACCCAGGGCATGACCCCATCAACGTATTCCTTGGAGTGTAACACTCAGTAACAAAGAATACATGATCAGCACTTACTATGTGACAGGACTGTTGTGAGAGCCTCACTGAGGCCGTACAATAATCCCATTTCCCTCCCTCCCTGTCTTCCAGGCTAAAGTGCAACGGCATGACCATAGCTCACTGGAACCTCGAACTTCTGGGCTGAAGCCATCCTCCTACCTCAGCCTTCCAAGTAGCTAGGAGTACAGGCGTGCGTCGCCATGCTTGGCTATTTTCCTTTTTTTTTTTTTTTTTTTTTTTTTTTTTGAGGTCTTGGCTATGGCATCCAGGGTGCTCTTGAACTCCTGGCCTCAAGTCATCCTCCTGCCTTGGCCTCCCAAAGTGCTGGATGACAGGCATGAGCCACCATGCCTGGCTTCCTTTAGCCATTTTTCTATGAGATTGACTGTCTTTTATCTTATTGGTTGGTAGAGTTCTTTACAAATGTAAGGTAGCAATTATTTGTTGGTTATATTTACAGAACTTTTTAAAAACAAAAATGGAATCTAATCAACATTGTCCTACAACTTGATTTTTCACTCTGTAATATATTTATACTTGCTTTTCTCTTTATATCTTCACAATACATCTTCACATAATTGAATGTGATGTTACCTTTTTAAATAGTTACATAATAGTATTGCACCAATACTAAGTAAATGTGCATCAATGACCTGCCAGTTTCCTACTGATGGATATTTGTGGTTAGGGGAGTTTCTCTGGCAGTGTGTTTTAATTCTGCATGTGTGTGTGCGCGTGCGTGTGTGTGTGTGTGTGTGTGTGTATTTTCAACAATCTTGCAAAGGCCTTTCTTCCACATGAGACTTTCAGCATGTGTGGAATTGTGTGTGGGGCAGAGAGTTCTACTGGTGGAATTGCTGGTTCAAAAGTGAAGCAGGTTTAAGAGCAGCGGCTGTTGTGGCTGTCAACTGGTCTAAACTCCTGAGAGTAGTCAGTGTGCCTGAACCAAGTATCTTGTTTTGACCTTGAAAAATATTAGCCAGGCACGGTGGCTCATGCCTGTAATCCTAGCACTTCGGGAGGTTGAGGTGGGCAGATCACACGGTCAGAAGTTTGAGACCAGCCTGGCCAATACGGTGAAATCCCATCTCTACTGAAAATAGAAAAATTAGCCGGGCATGGTGGCACATGCCTATAGTCCCAGCCACTTGAGAGGTTTAGGCAGAGAATTCCCTGAACCCAGGGGCAGAGGTTGCAGTGAGCTGAGATTTCACCACTATACTCCAGCCTGGGCAACAAAGTGAGACTCCCTCTCAAAAAAAAAAAAAAAAAAAAAAAAAAAAAAATTGACCAACCCCAATGGAGGGCACTTAGATAAGATCTATGGAAATTACAAGTGTACTAACTGAGGAGCTGAATGCAGGTGGTTTAACCCCAAAGCTGGCTTTCCATCATGATGGCATTCAAGATAATTATCACAATGATAATTCCTATTAAGCATGTGTTCTGTACCCAGTGCTGCTGTGCTGCTCTGCATACATCACCCTGCTGTATCCTCCCAGTACCACCGTGAAGTGGCTATCAGGGCCATCTCTAACAGATACGGAACAAGACTCGGGGAGGTTAAGCTGCTGGTCCAAGGTCACACAGTGGGAAAGGCCCAGGCAGGACGCAGGGCTCAGGCCAGCTTGGTTTAGCGCCTGTGCTCTCAAGCCCTGCCCCTCCCCGGGCTTCATCAATGATGGCAATGCCGGCAGTGGTGGAGAGTGAGTGCCTGAGAGAAGGGAGGCCTTGTTCTCCTAATGATGGGTCATGGGCTTGGCAGGCATGATCTCACTGGACCCCCCTAAACTGTCCTGGAAGGAGAGGCACCTAGGATGTCCACTAGAGGGGAGGGACCTGAGGCTGAGAGGGAGGAGGTCATTGCTGAGGCCATAGGCCAAGCACACGGCCAACTCAGAACTGCCCACCAGGCCTGTGGGACCCTGAGATGGCAACCACGACACCACTACCTCCGGTGCAAGCCCAGGGCAGGGCACTCAGGGCCACTGCAGAGAATGGTCTGGCTGGATGTGGTCTAGTCTCAGTTGAGGGTATCACTGCCTGCGTGGCTTTCACTCAGGAACCCTGGATGCAAAGCGGGGAGACTGACCTCCTTGTCCACCTGCTCTGCCTCCCATCAATGGTTTTCCTCTTTATGGCATCCTTATATGCTCAGAAGGTGCTGGTTCTCCAGGAGGCGGGCAGTTACTCTGGGAAACCACATTTCTACAGAGCAAAGCCCATGGCAGTCACATCCAGCCTCAAAAACTACCAACGACAGACAACTCCCATGCTCTGCCTCTGGGCTGACCTCTGCCTGACTTGAGCCTGGAACTCAGCTGCCCTGTAGCACTTCCACTTGGGCATCTATGGGGCACCTCCCACAGAACACAGCCAAGGCCAAGGCCAAGGGCTGTACCTTCCCCCAAACCTGTTATCTCCCAGGGTCTTCCCGCTCAGTTCATGGCTTCTCCTTTGAGCTGCTGAGGCCAAAACCCCTGTGGCATCCTTGACTTCTCTCATGCACACAACTAGGCATCATTAGGAAATTCGGTTAACACTACCTTTAAAATACTATATTCAGGCTGGGTGCAGTGGCTCACGCCTGTAATCCTAGCACTTTGGGAGGCTGAGGTGGGAGGATCACCTCAGGTCAGGAGTTCGAGACCAGCCTGACCAACATGGAGAACCCTGTCTCTACTAAAAATACAAAATTAGCCAGGCATGGTGGCACATGCCTATAATCCCAGCTACTCGGGAGGCTGAGGGAGGAGAATTGCTTGAACCCAGGAGGTGGAGGCTGCGGTGAGCCGAGATCTCACCATTGCACTCCAGCCTGGGCAACAAGAGCAAAACTCTGTCTCAAAAAAAGAAATAAAATAAAATAAAATACTATATCCAGAACTGCACATCTCCCCCTTCTTCTGTTCCTACCTGGGCCTGCTCCCACCCCACCTAACAGTAATCTATAGCCAGTGGGACCCTAGGAACACCCAAGTCAGATCCCATCCCTCCTCTGTGCAGAAGACTGAGGCCTGTGGCTCTTGCCCTATTCTGAGTACAGGACAAAGGCCTCCATGCGGCCCACGAGGCCTCACAAACTCTGCCCCTGTCCCCTCCTTGATGTCAATTCTCACCACATGGGCCTCCTCACCACCACCTGAGGGTCACCAACAAACTGTTCTCTTTCCCTGGAATGTTGTCATCCCTGCTGACTTCTTTGCATGATTCCAGCCTCACTTGAAATGTGATTTGCCCTGAGATGGCCCCCAAATCCTGTCAATCTCTTTCTGCATACTTCGACGGTTTCCACTTTTTTCTTTTCTTTTCCTTTTTTGAGACAGAGTCTTTCTTTGATGCCTAGGATGTAGTGCAGTGGCACAATCTCGGCTCACTGCAACCTCCGCCTCCTGGATTCAAGCAATTCTCTGCCTCAGCCTCCTGAGTAGCTGGGATTACAGGAACCTGCCAACACGCCTGGCTAATTTTTGTATTTTTAGTAGAGACAGGGTTTCATCATGTTGGCCAGGATGGTCTCGAACTCCTGACTTTAAGCGATCTGCCCACCTCGGCCTCCCAAAGTGCTGGGATTACAAATGTGAGCCACCATGCTCAGCCTAGTTTCCACTTTATACTTAGCATTACTGATTAATACTTTATCATGATTGTGCCCCTGTTACGGTCCAATTCTCCCCCTGGGCTGCCAGCTCCAAGGCAGAAAACGTGCCTGCCTGGCTCATCCTGTATCCCTGGCGACCAGCCTGGTGGCATCATCAGTTGAATGCATGCACAGGTGAAAGGCCAGCTTCCTCCCCATCCTGGCTGTTCCGAAGTTCTCCTGCCCTGGCTCTGCCTTCAGCTGGCCCTGATCCTGGCCTGGGCCCTCCCCTGGTTCTCTGGATCAGCCCTCAGTGACCTGCTGGCCCTCCTACCCCAACCTCAACATGCCAGACAGGGGACAGCGTGAGAGACTTGCTAAAACCCCAGCTAGGCACGGTCTCAGGGCAGCTGGTGACCCTGGAGGCACATTCCCAACCTGGGTGCTCTGAGGCCTGGGAAACCCATTCTAGGGGTGAGGGATTGTGGGTGGAGCTTCTGGAGCCGTTCTGGGACGTGCAGGCCTCCGTTCATATCCCACGATGCCGCTCGTCAGCAGTGACCTGGGGGACAAGTGACAACCTTTCTGTGCCTCATCGTCTTCCTCTCTAACTGGGGCAGTTGCAGTGCCCACTCTATCACACTCCTGAGATAATTCAACACGAAGGCATGTGTAGTGCTGCGCACTTGACAAGCTACTAAACTGTGCTGCTGTTACTAGGATAGTTCGCTCCATCGGGGCTGGGCAAACCCCTACATTTGCTGTGAAGCCTCATCCTTTCCATCTTTAGTGAAGTTTTTTTTTTTTTTTTTTTTTTTGAGACAAAGTCTTGCTCTGTTGCCCAGGCTGGAGTGTAATGTTATGATTACGGTTCACTGTAGCCTCAAACTCTTGGGTTCAAGTGATCCTCCCACCTCAGCCTCTTGAGCAGCTGGGACCATAGGTATGCACTACCATGCCTAGCTATATTTTTAATTCCTTGTAGAGGCAGATGTGGTTGCCCAGGGTGGTTCTGAACTCCTAGCCTCAAGGAATCCTTCCACCTCAGCCTCCCAAAGTGCTACGATTATAGGTGTGAGCCACCATGCCTGGCCTTTTTTTCTGGGTCTTGATTACATTCTAGAATTCATGATAATTTTTTTTTTTTTTTAGATGGTGTCCCGCTCTGTCTCCCAGGCTGGCGTACAATGGCACAATCTCAGCTCACTGCAAACTCCACCTCCCGGGTTCAAGCGATTCTCCTGCCTCAGCCTACTGAGTAGCTGGGATTACAGGCACCCACCACCACACCTGGTTAATTTTTGTATTTTTTGGTAGAGATGGGGTTTTATCATGTTGGTCAGGCTGGTCTTGAGCTCCCTTCCTCAAATGATCCACCCACCTCAATCTCCCAAAGTCCTGGGATTACAGGCGTGAGTCACTGCGCCCGGCCTCACGATGATTTCTAAACACAGATTCCCCTGATCTGTGCGTGCGTGTGGGGCGTGTGTGTGTGTGTGTGTGTGTGTGTGTGTGTGTGTCAGCAGCAATTTAGGAGTCACCTATAACAATGTCCCAAGGAAGTGGGAGGGGAGCCAAGCTCCAGGGAGCAGAAGAGGGAAGGGAAAGGCAACAGTGAGTTTCTTATTTGGGGCCCATGGTATATGTGGGAAACATTTCCTCCCCATTTTATTCTTTCGTGTAATGAAATAGTCAAGCAACACTTCTCTCTTCTTCTGAATTTGGTGAAAAGGAAAAAAAGAGATCCAAATCTGTCTTGGAGCAAAGATGACAGAATTGCAGGCAGTGATAGGCATGATCAAGTATGCTGAAGACGGGAACAAACCATGGCAGGCCCTGGAAGCAGCAGAGAGACGGAGGCCCCCGAAGTCCCACCTGCTTCCCTGAAGTCGAACCGTTGTCCCTGGTTTAAGAGAATCATGGGCTGAGAGGCTGAGGAATTCTCCAGGCCAAGAATCTTGGGGCATGCAGCCTCTTCTGTACCCTAGAGCGCCTGGGGGAGCTGGTGTGCTGATGGGGTTACCTCTCCCAGCTGCCTGGAAATTCTCAAACACTGCCTAAGAGGGCATCCTCTCCCACTCTGACGTCACTGCTTTCGTTTTTTTTTTCTTTTTTCTTTTTGTTTTGAGACAGAGTCTCGCTCTGTCACCCAGGCTGGTGTGCAGTGGCATGATATTGGGTCACTGCAACCTATGCTTCCCAGGTTCAAGCAATTCTCCTGCCTCAGCCTCCCAAGTAACTGGGATTACAGGTGCCTGCCACCATAACCCGCTAATTTTTATTTTTATTTATTTATTTTTTTGAGACAGAGTTTCGCTCTTGTTACCCAGGCTGGAGTGCAATGGCGTGATCCCGGCTCACCGCAACCTCCGCCTCCTGGGTTCAGGCAATTCTCCTGCCTCAGCCTCCTGAGTAGCTGGGATTACAGGCACGCGCCACCATGCCCAGCTAATTTTTTGTAGCTAATTTTTTGTGGCTTGAGCTACCGCGCCCGGCCTAATTTTTTTTTTTTTTTTTTTTTTTTTTTTTGAGACGGAGTTTCGCTCTTGTTACCCAGGCTGGAGTGCAATGGCGCGATCTCGGCTCACCGCAACCTCAGGCTGGAGTGCAATGGCGCGATCTCGGCTCACTGCAACCTCCACCCCCTGGGTTCAGGCAATTCTCCTGCCTCAGCCTCCTGAGTAGCTGGGATTACAGGCACGTGCCACCATGCCCAGCTAATTTTTTGTATTTTTAGTAGAGATGGGGTTTCACCATGTTGACCGGGATGGTCTCGATCTCTTGACCTCGTGATCCACCCGCCTCGGCCTCCCAAAGTGCTGGGATTACAGGCTTGAGCCACCGCGCCCGGCCTAATTTTTTTTTTTTTTTTTTTTTTTTTTGAGACGGAGTTTCGCTCTTGTTACCCAGGCTGGAGTGCAATGGCGCGATCTCGGCTCACCGCAACCTCCGCCCCCTGGGTTCAGGCAATTCTCCTGCCTCAGCCTCCTGAGTAGCTGGGATTACAGGCACGTGCCACCATGCCCAGCTAATTTTTTGTATTTTTAGTAGAGACGGGGTTTCACCATGTTGACCGGGATGGTCTCGATCTCTTGACCTCGTGATCCACCCGCCTCGGCCTCCCAAAGTGCTGGGATTACAGGCATGAGCCACCGTGCTCGGCCTAATTTTTATATTTTTAGTAGAGATGAGGTTTCACCATGTTGGTCAGGCTGTTCTTAAGCTCCTGACCTTGTGATCTCCCTGCCTTGGCGTCCCCAAGTGCTGGCATTACAGGCATGAGCCACCGCGTCCGGCTGACATCACTGTTTTCTTTTTTTTTTTTTTTTGAGACGGAGTTTCGCTCTTGTTACCCAGGCTGGAGTGCAATGGCGCGGTCTCGGCTCACTGCAACCTCCGTCTCCTGGGCTCAGGCAATTCTCCTGCCTCAGCCTCCTAAGTAGCTGGGATTACAGGCACGTGCCACCACGTCCAGCTAGTTTTTTGTATTTTTTTTTAGTAGAGACGGGGTTTCACCATGTTGACCAGGATGGTCTCGATCTCTTGACCTCGTGATCCACCCGCCTCGGCCTCCCAAAGTGCTGGGATTACAGGCTTGAGCCACCGCGCCCGGCCTACATCACTGTTTTCTAACACTAGTCATTTGCTTGCTTCCTTCTGAATCCAACCTGACCATTCATCTGCTGGTTCTCAGCCTTCAAAAGGGCTACAAGTTTGTTCTATAAAATTATGTTTAAAATATTTATCTGAGTTGTCCACGACATGATTAATAATGGGGAAGAAACATATGAGAAGACGCTCAATCTCGGCAGTCTTCAGAAAAATTCCAATTACAAACACAGTGTCGGCCAGGTGTGGTGGCTGGCGCCTGTAATACCAGCATTCTGGGAGGCTGAGTTAGGAGGATCACTTGAGCCCAGGAGTTCGAGACCAGCTTGGGCAACATGGTAAGACCTTGTATCTATAAAAAAAAGTTTTTAAAAATAATAAAATAAAACCAGAATGTGATACCACCACATGCACACCAGAATAAATGAAACACAGAGGTTGGTGAGAGCATGGAGCAACTAGAACCCTCACGGTGCTGGTCAGACTGTAAGATGCTTTGTCATCTTGGGAAGCAGTTTGGCCCCTTCCTATAAAGTTAAACATACTGGCCTGGTGCGGTGGCTCACACCTGTAATCTCAACACTTTGGGAGTCCGAGGAGGGCAGATCACTTGAGGTCAGGAGTTCAAGACCAGCCTGGGCAACATGTTGAAACTCCATCTCTACTAAAAACACAAAATTAGCTGGGCGTGGTGGCTCATGCCTGTGTTCCCAGCTACTTGGGAGGCTGAGGCAGGGGAGAATCGCTCGAGTCTGGGAGGCAGAGGTTGCAGTGAGCCGAGATCATGCCACTGTACTCCAGCCTGGATGACAGGGCGAGACTCTGTCTCAAAAAATAGATAAAATAAAATAAAGTTAAACATATGACCTAGCAATTTCACTCCTAGGTGTGTATACCTTACAGAAATGTAAGCATATGCTCATCAAAAGACAAGCACAAGAATGTTCCTGGCAATACTGCTCTAAGCAGCCCAAACTGCAAACAACCCAAATGTCTATCAATACCAGGATGTGGCAATAAACTGTGGCTCATTCAGACAATGGGGGATACCACTCAGATACTGTGATGCCATGTACAATCATGCGGCTGGCTGTCATAAATGTAACGCTGAGTGACAGAAGCCAGACACACATACACAGAATAGACACAGTGTGATTCTGTATTCTACGAAATTCAAAATCTGGCAAAGCTCAGGCCATGAGAAGTAGGACAGGGTTCCTTTGGGGGTACTAACTGGGAGGGGAATGGGGACTTGGGGAGACTGGCCACTTTCTGTTTCCCGCCTGGGTGTGTCCACTCTGCGATAGGTTATCAGGTGTGTGCTCATGATGTGCGCCCTTTTCTTTTCTTTTTTTTTTTTGAGATGGAGTCTTGCTCTGTTGCCCAGGCTGGAGTGTAGTGGTGTAATCTTGGCTCACTGCAACCTCTACCTCACAGGTTCAAGTAATTCTCCTGCCTCAGCCTACCGAGTAGCTGGGATTACAGGTATGCACCACCATGCCTGGCTAATTTTTGTATTTTTAGTGGAGACGGGGTTTCACCATGCTGGCCAGGCTGGTCTCGAACTCCTGACCTCAAGTGATCTGCCCACCTTGGCCTCCCAAAGTTCTGGGATTACAGGTATGAATCACCGCACCCGGTCAGGTGGGCTTGTAACACGTGCTGTATGTCCACTAAAGTTGAAAACAACATAGAAGAGTTTATGTGATGAAAAGCCACAGGACACAGTCAGTTCTGCTCCTGAGAGCACCATGTGCTTATTCCTTTTCAGCTACCTTCCCTGGTGGCTCCCAGCTCCGTGTCACACAGCTGCATGCTAGCTCCTGCCTTATCAACGGGAGCAGACGTCACCTGCTGTTGCCCTGTCTGGATGGATAAGGATCTCGCTCACTGGTTCTGCCGCTCTCCTGGGTGCCCTCTCTAGTCTTACACGTGGCACTTACAGTTTTCTTTTGTGTTTTATCCGTCACTGACAGGAGGTGGAGTGTTGCCTGTCAAGCTCTAAGTAAGAGGTCCTGAGGAGTGAGGCAGGTAGGTGGGCACAGCAGTTGCTGGGGGCCCTACCTGGCTTCTGACGTTCCATGGTGCTTTCCTGGCTGGTCAGGCCTCCAGAAGAAGAGTCACCGCTGGATGTCCCATCGTGGCTGAAGTGGGGATCAAGAGATAGCAGGGGGTGTGGGGCAGCCGCGTACCTGCAGGGGATGAGAGGAGACCCGCCCAGGGTGAAAGACTGGCCCGGGTTGAAAACCACCCCAGCCTGAGCCTTGCTTGCTGTGGGTTTTAGACACACGGGAGGCTCCACCGTGGATTGGAGAGAGAAAGCTGCGGGCAAGGCTGGATGAGTAAGCTGGAAACGTGCTATTAGCTGCGGGTCCGGGATGAGAGTGTCGCCTGGGACGCCTGCCAAGGAGCTGGTGACGGCAGGGAGCACAGGGCAAGGAGGGTTCCTCAGGGAAGGAGGGGGCATAGTCTGCTTGGGCAGACAGCCCTACCCCTGGGCTCCTCTCGGGTCCTGTTTCTGGCTATGACAGCGGGTGAATGTCCCCAGCAGCTACCGCCCCAGGCCTATCCTGGGCTGCCTTTTGGTTCAGCAAGCCCTGAGCTGGTCAAATGAGGCTTCAAACCTCACCACGGCCTCTTGCCTAGACAGATGCAGTCACTTCCTACCCCTGAGCCTCAGTTTCCCTAGCTGTCAAGAGGTGAACACAGTAAACCCTTCTTCTTAGGACTGAAGAATGCCCCGTCACGCCCAGTGTTTACTGGGGGCTGGTTCCCGACACATGGTGACTTGGGATACCTGGCTGATGGGCTGGAACTCTGCCTGTCCCCCTTTGCAGCTGGAGCAGGGGACCACAGGGAAGAAACTGTGGTGCAGAAGCTTGGCTCAGTGCAGCCTGGACCTCCCTGGCTCAAGTAATCCTCCCATCTCAGCCTACTAAGTACCTGGGACTACAGGCACATGCTATCATGCCTGGCCGATTTTACTCTACTTTTTGTAGAGATGGGGTCTCCCTACATTGCCCAGGCCGGTCTCGAACTCCGGGGCTCAAGCAATCCTCCCACCCTGGCTTCCTAAATTGCTGGGATTACAGGCTTGAGCCACGCACCCGGCCTGAGCTGCAGTTACTCCATCTGAAAAATGATGTAACATTTTCTACCTCATAGGGCTGTGGACTGGATGGAATAAAGTTATCCCCTAGACAGAGGTCCTCCTGGAAGCCAGCTCTGCACATCTGCAGGCAAGGCCAGGATTTAAGGGAGGTGGCGGAAGAAGGCTCTCACTATGCCCTCATGTCCCAGTGGCATTCTCTCTGTTTTTTTGAGACAGGGTCTCACTCTGTCAACCAGGCTGTAGTGCAGTGGCACCATCTCAGCTGACTGCAACCTCTGCCTTCCAGCTCAAGCGATCCTCCCACCTCAGCCTCCTGAGTGGCTGAGACTACAGCTGCATGTTACCATGCCTGGCTAATTTTTAGTATTTTTTGTAGAGACAAGTTTCATCATGTTGCCCAGGCTGGTCTTGAATTCCTGGGCTCAAGTGATCCACCTAGTTCAGCTTCCCAAAGCACTGAGCCACCACGCCCAGCCCCAGTGGCCCTGTCTACACCACGGGGTGAATCTTACGGATACTTCTAATGCCCAGTACTCCTTGGTTCAGAGCTGGTTGTGGTAGAAAGTCTTCTCCCTGCCTGGGGTTGGTTCAGGGACAGGCCTGTGACACAATTTTGGCTGATGAGGCATGAAGGGAGGTCAGAGTTATTTAGACTCCCACAAAACGTTTTCAGCTCTCCACTTCCCACCAGGTGGCAGGACACACTTCCAGGTCTCTGGATTGGCTGAATGGAGCCATGTGACCAGCACCCGCAGCTGAGCTGTCAGGGAAGTGACTTGGAGATGCTGGCTGACTGGGCAGCCTGGGTCCTGAGAGGCCCCTGCCAATCAGCAGGGGAACAGCATAGGGGCTGAAAAATAAACTTCACTGATTTAAGCCAGGGAGACTTTCAGGTGTCTGTTACCCAGCATGGTCTCACTGAAGTGGGGGAATTATGCCCAGAGTCTTCTGGGAAATCTTGCTCTTAAGAGGGATGACAAGAAAAGATGGTCTCTCTTTGTCCTCCAGATGCTGCTGGGTCCAGATTTAACATCACAAGCTGCTGCTGCCCTCTTGTTACCAGGCTGCAGGTGAGGCCCACTCTGATGGTGGAAGAGAGGAGACAAAAGGAATCTGGCCCTTGATAATGTGGTCAAGATGTTGAATTCACCCTCCCTGGAACCTGCCCTTCTCCTGAGCTTCCTTTACTGTGAGGTAACAAATTCCTACAATGTTTGAGCCAAATTTTGGTTACTTTGGCCAGAAGTACATCACTGACACAGGCCCTGTGCTCTGGGAAAGTTACTGAGCCTCCATTAATAATATTGATATTGGCCAGGCATGGTGGCTCATGCCTGTAATCCCAGCACTTTGGGAGGCCGAGGCGGGCAAATCACTAGAGCTCAGGAGTTCAAGACCAGGCTGGCCATGGCAAAACCCCGTCTCTACTAAAAATACAAACATTAGCTGGGTGTGGTGGTGGTGTGTACCTGTGGTCCCAGCTACTCAGGAGGCTGAGGCAGGAGAATCACTTGAGCTTGGGTGGTGGAGGTTGCAGTAAGTAGAGACTGTGCAACTGCACTTCAGCCTGGGTAACAGAGCGAGTCTCTATCTCAAAAAAAAAAAAAAAAAAAGGGGGTTGATATTGCAGTTCTCTGGGTGGCTCCTGGTACCTGTACTTTCTACTTGGGAGGATCTGGTGGGGGCAGGCAAGGTGATAAGCTGGGATCCCCCTACATGCCAAAGAGGAAGTAACTGACTTATCCACCTTGCTCTAACCCCAGGCTTCAACGCCCTGAGCACAGTGGAGGGATACTTCAAGGGGCACTGCACTCTCTGAAAACTCTACTCACTTGCCAGGAAAAAACATACCATCCTCCCTGCCCTCAACCAGACCTTGACCCTCTAAAACCTCCAGGAAAGGAAGACAGAGCCAAAACACAGGAAGTACAAAACGTTAATTCTTAACTTTTCTCAATGTCTGAGGGCCCAGTTTCCAACAATCAAAGGGATTTTACAAAGGCAACTTTGACTATAAGCAATCTTCACCTTACTAGCTGACTTCACACCTGGCTAGCTGCCTGGTAAAATGTGGCTCCATCATTGCTGGAGATTGGAGTGTTGATGCACTTACTCAGTTTTCCCAAAAAGTCACTGTGAAATCCTCAGCATTCAGGGAAAATGGCTAGATGAGCCCGGGGAGAGCGGAAAGTCTGAGTGGCGGACGCTGTAGGCTGCTCCCCATGACTAGCCTCTCCTTCCTTCTTGGTAACAGGATCCCAACTGTATCTGGGGCAGCAATGAGTCCAGCTTGCCAGACTACATGTCCCAGGATCCCTTGCAGCTCTGGCCAATGAGCTCAAACTGGAAGTGCCACCCGTGACTTCCAGTCTCGCAGCCTCCTCAGGAGTGTGCTGCGGGTGCCTTTGCCTCACCGCCTCCTCAGGGCAGCAGCTTGAACGGCCACCTTGAACCAGGAGGCAAAAGGCCAAGGACAGCAATACATCAAGGAGGAGGGGCCTGTTTCCCGTCAATGTGGGGAAAGAAACGATCTTGTCAGAACCACTGTTTTCTATACTATGCAGCTAAACCTAATTGGACAGAACCTCTTTAGTTGGGTATATTTTACCTTGTTTCATCTCTCAGCTACTGTCCCCAATCAGACAACCTGTACTTTATCCAACCATATACTTCTCTTGCTAACAAGACTGTTTGTTTTTTTTTTCTTTGTGAGATGGAGTCTTGCCCTATTGCTTAGGCTGGAGTGCAGAAGTGATGCCAACTTCCACTTCCGGGATTCAAGCGATTCTCTTGCCTCAGCCACCCAAGGGATGACAGGCACATGCCAAGATGCCAGGCTAATTTTTTTTTTTTTTTTTTTTTGAGATCAAGTCTCACTCTGTCACCCAGGCTGGAGTGCAATGGTGTGATCTCAGCTCACTGCAACCTCCAGCTCCTGCGTTCAAGTGATTCTCCTGTCTCAGCCTCCTGAGTAGCTGGTATTACAGGTGTGTGCCACCAAGCCCGGCTAATTTTTGTATTTTTAGTAGAGATGGGGTTTCACCACACTGACCAGGCTGGTCTTGAACTCCCGACCTCAGGTAATCCACCCACCTCAGCTTCCCAAAGTGCTGGGATTACAGGCATGAGCCACTGTGCCCCGCCCAACTAGACTTTTTATTATCCCAATGCAAACTGACCTATGTTGACCATTCACTGGGAGGCTGAATATCTCCCATTTGGGGCCATATCTATCACCGTCCAATTTTGGTCAAACTGATTAGAAATCGAGACATCTCAGCCTCTCATCACACACAGCTCTGGAGAAACATCCTTGGCAGAAGAGAAGATCAAATTGCCGTCTTTAACCTCATCTGAGTAATTTTAAAGTAATGATCTCTTCTTGGAAGATGAAATCACTTCACAGATAAAGGGTTTGGGGCTTTGGGAGGAGCTGACTAGCTGTGGCTTCAGGTGTCTCCAGGCAGAAGCTGGAGGCACTGACTCTGGGGAGGCACCTTATGGGGAGCAGGGTTGGGCTATGAGATGCTGGCTTGAGCTTCCCTCTTGGCGGTGGAGGAAAGTACCAAGACAGACAGGACTGTGGGCAGGAGCCTCGCCTGGACAGAGAGCTCCAGCCTGCTCTGTGAATATCCCACACTGACCAGTGGGAAAAACAGACAGGTGAATGACAGGATGCCTGGGTAAAATGATGGTCAGATGACGTAGCTTTGTTGGCTGCCACCCCAGCAGCCATCACCTTCTCCAACCCTGCTTGGTGGAGCCCAGATTCCACTCTGGTAGCCAGCCCTGTGTCACATGGCTTGAATAAATCCTGACAGTTAACAGGCACAGGGGTGCAACGTGACCCTGCCAGGGGCTGAGGGGTGGGCAAGTGATCTAGTTTCTTCTCTCTTAATTAACTGATTATTTTTGAGACAGGGTCTCACTCTCACCCAGGCTGGAGTGCAATGTAGCACACCTGGCTCACTGACACCTTGACCGCCTCGGGCCAAGCAAGCCTCCCACCTCAGCCTCCCAAAGTGCTGTGTCAGGGTCAGCCCTCTGGAACTATAGTCCTGGGTTCTCATCCTGGCTCTG